TGATTTCAGATTCAATGGAATTATTATTTTAATGTATATTCCCAATTCCCACTACCAACCACCACATAACATACAATGCAGGTAAGGTATTATATTTATGATAATCTAAAAGAAGTCTATGATATAGTATAAAATTTGAATATCTTGCAAAGAACATCATTGTTAGGAGTGGGAGGAAGCCAATACTAGTATTTCCCATCATTTTTTTTTAATTAAACTTTATTGGGGTGACAATAGTAAGTAAAATTACATAAGTTTGAGGTGTACAATTCTGTACTACATCATCTATATATCACATTGTGTGCTCACCACCCAGAGTCAGTTCTCCTTCCATCACCATATATTTGATCCCCTTTACCCTCTTCTACCATCCCCTCCCCCCTTACCCTCTGGAAACCACTGAACTACTGTCTGTGTCTATGAGTTTTTGTTTCTTTATTTGTTTGTCTTGTTCCTTTGTTGTTTTCATTTTTATATCCCACGTATCAGTGAAATAGTATTTCCCATCTTCAATCTGAGACCATGAATTAACATTGTTTGAGTATCTGCCGCTATTGTACATGAACAGGAAGTAATGTCTTTATTCTTTTTGCAGAGCATCATTAAATTAATCTTTAAACACAAAAATAATGTTAGTATGGCATTTAAAACAAAGTAAAACATTTTTAAAGCCTATTAACTAATTAGTATCATTAGAATAATTAAGTAGAATGAATTACCTTATTTAAAGACCAGGACAACATCCACTTTTTTCTTTGTTTTTACTTTTACAGTGCTATAATTGCTTTTTTTCTGAATTATTTAGGAAGAAAATTTAGACCATTTGTGAAAGTACCACATTCCATTTGGTATGATTTAATCCCTTCATTTTCCTAAAAGGCCAACTGTGACTGAGAAACTAGTAGAGTCTCCATTCTGCCCCACTAAATGGAAATGAGAGAAAGGCAAGGTTCCGGAGCCCCCCTGTCTGGGGACACTCTCTTAACGCTTTCTTCTTGACAGCTGAGGCAGGAGGTGGTGGCCTGCATGCGACGGGACACAACCCTCGAGACGGCTCTCAACTCCAAAGCATACAAACGGAGCAAGCGCCAGACCCTGAGGGAGGCCCGCATGACGGAGAAACTGGAGAAGCAGCAGAAGATTGAGCAGGAGCGGAAGCGCCGGCAGAAGCACCAGGTACTCAGGCCTGGGCTTTGCGTGTCCTTATGTTGACAGAGATGTCTGACTAAGTAATTGGATGGAGTCAGAGCGACGTAAAAAAATGTGCCATTGTGGGCGGCGAGGGCATCCCAGAACAGAAAAGCTCCTTGGAGCGTCCATAGCCTCACCACACTGTAGGTGAGGAGACTCAGGCCAAGCCAGGTAAGCGGGCTTTCTTACCTCTAGCCAGGTGTCATCTTCATCATCCCATGGAAAGCTGCTGACTTGGGTGGGTTTCCTGGAGCAAAATCCTGGGGAACTTGGAAAACGAAAGAAGAAAGCAAAAAGTTATTTTTATAACAAATATAAATATGGTACCCAGGGCTCTTTGAAGGGCCCAGTTAGCGGTTTGACAGCAGCAGATATTTAAAAACATTCTTTTCTAGGGGTTTGGAAATATTTTGATATAGGATTTGATTTTGTGTCATAATCCTATAAGTTGTATTTGTTTTTCTGTGCTTAATTTAGTGCCTAGCTTAGGTTTGTTTTTAAAAATGTTGGACTTTAGTATAAATAAGCATACACATTTCCCTTCCTTTATTTAAAAAGCGTATACAAATTCTGCATGGAGGTTTTTGGCACCCTATAAAACCTCGAGTCACCATGCTAAGGGATTTACATTAAAGCAGAAGAAACTTTTATAACATATTTCTCGTTGGAGAGACCTGCCTCCCTCGGGTTTATTTGAGAGCAATTGGCTTTTAATTTTGTCATCACCATTTTGCAGGCCTCTCC